CAACCTTTTCCTCGCCACGGAACAAACTTCGCCCTCTATATAACTATATCCATGCACAAATATTTCTGTTAAGGATGCATAAATATTTGTATGTCAACATGCTCCATGCAGCAGTTGTACAACACGTTGTCGATTAAAAGACCATGGGGAGGGGACAGCAATATTGATAATTATAAAAAAGGCGAATTTAATTATTCAAAAGAATTATTAATGTAACAAGACAGTCTAACTCATGGCTGAATGTCTTTAGTTTCAGGGTGATCCTACCGAGTTAGGCAAGAACCAGAGGACTAGAATGAAACTCACTTTTCGTTATTGTTGTTTTGGTCTCTTGTAGTTCAAGTATACCTTGTCATATACAGTCTCGCATACTAATAATTCGCTCAAATGCAGGCTATAGCTTTTGTATACTATCACTTCAAACTAGAAAACAAGTTTAATCTGGTCATAGACTGGGTGGAGATATTCAAAACTTGTCTGTCTATAATATATTAAATGGACCTCCTTTTTTCGTGTTTTTAATTGGGTATATACCGAGTCCTTGAAGATCCTTATATGCATGAGTCTTTTGTATGGAATTACGTCCGGGGCGCCATTTTTATTGTTTGAAGGATGTCCCTTCAAACAATGTAACAAGTCCCTGCCCTGGTTTGAATACCCAGTGTGACACTTCTCTGCATGGTTGAATCATTAGGTTCATGGTTGAATTAACGCCAACACTCCGACTATAGGCTAATCGACCGTATAGGAGTCCAAACTTGACCTAGAAATGTTACTGATTGGCGTAATCTCCAATGAATACACGACCTATTATGTCTTGGACACTTTAATTAATCCCCTATTATGAAAGAAAACACACAAAAGAAGCAAAAGACCGTTCGTCGTATAGAGGGTCGTTGGTCCAAAATTGCTTTAAAACTGAAAGAAAGAAATAATCTTTTTAGATTGGTCAGCCTTAAAACACAAGAGCAACAACAACAACAACAAGAACCCAACGAAATCTATCATAGGGGGATCCTCGCATAATTATTAATTAAGTTATGAATTATATTATTAAGTTATGAATTTTTGATTTTGCCATCAATAATTGTCAGTGACCTAATCCTTTCATTACTGTTCGGCTTCTATTTAATAATCAGGGTAGTTCTCCTTTAATTCGCAGCTCATTCACATCGATCGTAGGACCACCCCCAAAATGCCAATGTCCTCTTTATAATGGGCGGACTCACGCAAACTACGTCACTGCATGTGATAAGGTCAATGGCAAATTGTATAGAGATTCCTTACCAAAGGCAAAGTATAAATCTCATCCATATACATCGTTTAATATAATTATATTACGCTTTTTTTTTTTCTTCAAAAAAATCATCTTACTGATACTGTTGCTCATAAAGTTGGAATAAATCTTATTGCTTTTCTTTTCTTGAAATGATTGTAAGAATATTTTAATAATTGAAAGATAAAGTTTAGAGAATTACATACTCTATCTTTCAAGAATAAACAATATTTGTCAATTCAGGAATTAAGAGAGGTACAAAAGTAAAAAACTTTATTTTGATATTATTGGCAAATCTAAGTGCGATGATTCTGATATTCTAAACCGTGACTTTTAAATTTAACATTGCATTGCATTATGGCTACTCTTTTTGGAAAAGATGCAATTATTGTTACACTGTTGCTCATAACGGTGGAATATTTTTTTTTATCCCAATGTATGGAATTATTTTAAAAATAATTTAAAAATACTAGATCTAAATAATAGTATACAGTCTCAGATTTTATTGAATAATAATTTGCCAATATGTGTTTTGCGTGACTGCTAAAGCATGTATATTATGCTACTATGTTTATCAACTAGGGGACCTATGCCCTTAAGTCATAAATGACAGTAATGATGATTAATGCCTCACAAAAGGGCTCTGATATAGCACATCGACACGGTGTTGATCCTGGGGCCTCACAGTTACGAGGCCATTGCTTTGTCACTGAACCATGACTGTACGCAGCGGGGGATAGGGTAGGGGGCAGTTTCCATAAATTTAAAAAAAAAACAGAAAATGCAATAAATATTCAATAATTTATTGCATTCTACCCCGGTCCTCAACATAAAAAAATCCTCTGGACGGCCATGCATTATGGCTCAAGGCATGGGCACACAGAAGATTTTTTTATGTTGGGGACCGGGGTAGAATGCAATAAATTATTGAAAATTTATTGCATTTTCTGTTTTTTTTTTTAATTTATGGAAACTGCCCCCTACCATAGCCCCCGCTGCGTACAGTCATGGTTCAGTGACAAAGCAATGGCCTCGTAACTGTGAGGCCCCAGGATCAACACCGTGTCGATGTGCTATATTAGTGCCCTTTTGTGAGGCATTAATCCTCATTACTGTCATTTATGACTTAAGGGCATAGGTCCCCTAGTTAATAAACATAGTAGCATAATATACATGCTTTAGCAGTCACGCAAAACACATATTGGCAAATTATTATTCAATAAAATCTGAGACTGTATACTATTATCTAGATCTAGTATTTTTAAATTATTTTTAAAATAATTCCATAAATTGGGATAAAAAAAAATATTCCACCGTTATGAGCAACAGTGTATTATATAGCTACGTAATGGTGCTACAAAGCAATGGGACGGCATCCCATGAGGAAGGGGGAGGGGGCTGTTATCCAATAATGACAACGACAAGGCTAATCGGCCGTCAAAGGAGCTCAAACTTGACCTAGAAATGTTACCGATTGGCATAATCTCCAATGAATACAACCTATTATGACTTTAATCCCCTATTAGTATTATGAAAGAAAACACAAAAAAAGCAAAATATCCTTCGTAGAATAGAGGGCTGTTGGTAAAAAAAAATGCTTTAAAACTGAAAGAAAGACACAAGAACCCAACTAAATTTATCATAGGGGGATCCTCGCATAATAAGGTATATAGTCCCTCCACCCCTCCCCCCGTTTGGAGGTCCGAATAACAAAAAAACAAAAAAAATCTAAGCTTTATTTACAGATCGAAAGGATCGTTTACACTTTATGATTGCGGTCTCCTGCACTTGTCCGATGTATACTTCGGATACTACTTACTTTTTATAATAATTTGTTATAAAAATATTAAGTTTCGTTATTAATATTGTGGATATAAAAACAAACATTCTGATATGAAGTATTATTGTTTGTATATTTTGTATTATACCTGACGTGTTCTTTCTTATTCAGTTATTATGTTTGGAAAAATGCAGAAATAAAATAAAATAAAATTAAAAGTGGCGAGCGCAAACACCCTCCCCCGTCTTGCCAGTCATGTGGGCGCTCATGCATGGAGCGCTATAGCAAATTCCCAAAATCAGAAGCCTAAACATGAACGGGGGAACTGGAAAAGCAGAGCGGAGAAAAGATCGCCTATAGCGAAGTAAAAAGCTTGAGAGAGCTGAAAGTGAACAAGAGGCGAAGATCATAGGACGCCCTCCATCACTGTTAAAGGGGAAGCCCATCCTGATAATAACTGGTATTAATAAACCAAAAAAAGGAGAGAAACAAATTCGTGAAAGTTTGAGGAACATCCGATTTAGAGTATAGGAAAGTTATGAATTTTTAAATTTGCCATCAATTTTCAGTGACCTAATTCTTTCATTATTGTTCTGCTTCTATTTTATAATCAGGGTAGTTCCCCTTTAATTCGCAGTTCATACTACCACCCTAAAATGCCAATGTCCCCTTAATGGGGGACCCACGCATACTACGTCACTGTGATAAGGTCAATGGCATATTGTTTAAAGATTCATTACCAAAGGCAAAGGAAAAATCTCAACCATATACATCTTTTAATATAATCATATTGCGCATTGTTTTTTCAAATAAATCATCTCACTAAATATAATAATACTGTTGCTCATAAAGTTGGAATAGATCTTCTTGTTTTTTTCTTCATGAAATGATTGCAACGTTGTTTTAATTCTTGAAATATAAAGTTTAGAGAAGATACATACTCTATCTTTCAAGAATAAACAATATTTGTCACAGTCAATTCAGGAAAAGAGGTACCAAAGTAGTAAACTTTACTTCAACTTTGTAGGCAACAGTGTGATATTCTGAACCGTGACTTTTAAATTTAACATTGCTTCACATTACCCTCTTCCTCCTCGCCTTCCTTTTTTAAGCCCATCATTGGGGGAGGGGGGGGGGGGTCGGGGAGGGGCTATGTACCCAGAGGAAATGTGTGGGGGAAATTAGATAGTGGAGGAAGAGGTGATGAGAGAAATATATACTTAGTTTGATAAATGACAGATAGATAGACAGACAGATAAATAGATAGATAGATGAATAGAGATAGATGGATGGATGGATAAATAGATAAATAGACAGACAACCAGACAAATGGTTAGGTAATAAATGCAAAGTGATTTCTCACAATCCATTAACATTATGACCGTCTTTTTCTTCATAGTTCCACTTGTTACCTTGTAAAAGCTTAAAATTTTATTTTATATATTTCTGAGGAAATCCTGCAAACTAGTACCTCTGAAACAGTGTATATATTTGAAGAAGAAAAACAAACAAAAATAGGAAACCATATTACAGAAGCTTCATAATCTGCAGTAGGGAAAATAGGGAAATAGGGAAAAAAAGAAAAAAAAGAAAAAAGAAAATAAATTAAAGTTTCTAAAAAGGGGTTTGAACTTTGTATCCAGTGGCCAATTAGGGAGGGCCACAGTCAGCCCTTGCTCATTCCTTTTTTTTTTTTTTTTTAACTGACCCCCCCCCCCCCCCCCCTCATCCTAGTCAACATTTTACTGAATCCCTTAGGCTATAAATGGCATAGGATTGTGGAAAAAAGGAGTCATTTTCAAGTACTGGTGTTATGCAATAAAAAATCTGCAGTTTTGCTCCAGGCTAAATATTGCGCAACCTTGTTTGCCCTGCGGTATGTGCTAGCCCTATCTACATGTATCTCCGTCAGAAACTGGGTCTGTAGCTGTCGATGTCTGGCTAGCTAGCTGGGCGTGCATGTTCTGCGCATGCGTAAATTCGTAAAATTGATTCTCGCCATCTTGGAAATTTTCTGCGCTGCCGAACATCTGTCCATCAGAAAAAATTACACCAAAACAACGGAACGCCGCATTTTATATTTGAATGGATCCAAGAGTGACTTGGTACCAACCTGAACAACTTGGTAGAGCCACTGATCTCTGGACCCAGATATTCGACAGCGCAACATTGACAGAAGAGCTGCAAAATTTTCACGTTGGCGATAGCATGAGCAAAGGTGGGACTGGCAGCCCTTCCCCCAACTCTCGGAGCGGCGTAGGCACCCGAACTGCGCCAGATTACATTCCTTTGAACGGAGACAACGCAGCGCATGCAAGGAAGAAGAAGGGAGCAAACGGTTTTATATTTGGTGACAGGCAGGACACTATCAACAGAAAAAGAAAGGATAATCTAGCAAGCACATACGACTGGAATCATTCTGGAAAATTACGAAATGGGGGAACGCCATGGCGGATGCCAAGCCAGCGGTACTGCGGAATCGTCGGGTAAGATTTGAATTCGGTGTTTTTTCTTCATCTTTGACTTTTTTAATTGAGGTCTATAATTAACGTCATACGTCACTTGTTTTTGTATTTGTGTACATTTTTGTTGTTGGTAATTATGCTTGATTAACATGCTTATCATTACATTTACGGGAACCTTCAGTTTTCTTCATCGAAACAACTCAACGGTTAGACTAAACGGTTTAAAGCCATTGAGGCATTTAAATTTTACGTTAGAATGATATGGCACTTATGCATATCGCCACCGCACCAGCGCAACGAGTGTGTAGTGTCTTTGACACACACACAGCGTAGCACACATCACTCAGAATACACACACCCCCTAATGTGGTAGCGCTAGCTCCACATAAAAGTAAACCTAAATTGTGTGTGTATGCGATGGAGAGGCTATGGCTTCCTGCACTGACCTGTACCTGTTATTTGTGTGTGCGGTGGTGAATGTGAATTGTTTGTACATGTGTAGGTGCACAGTGCAGCAGTGCCAGTGGATTTCTGTTCTGGCACTGACTTTTCGCATGTTCTTCACATGTATTTTTTGAAGCTGCCAGTATTGTTCAAAAAGACTTTTTTTAAAAATCATGTTGTGACTTTATTTCATTTATAAATATAAGTTATGAATGATTGAATGTATATTATAATCTAGTGAGCTTTACATTATTTTTTTGGGTCCCCTCATGTTTTTTCTTTCGTTTTTGGTGTTATGTTAATTGAGTAGAGTTTAAAGAGTAACACTGCCCCCCCCTAATGAGTCAGAAATATACCTTTACATTTGTTTTATTAGACTAAGTGGACTAGATCTACTATATTGAAAATATTATTTGTTGAAATCAAATTTGTCAAGCCATTTATCTGAATGTTGAGAAACTGGCAACTTGTTCATGAATTTCGTGATGTCATCTATCACTGTATATTTTCAATTATTTTGATACCCAAATTTTCCATTTGATCTCCCAGAAACTGCTTTCCACATGCCTTCTCCCAGGTTTGGATAAGTAAATGTCTATTTGATTGGTTTAAATTCTCCTTTATGTGAAAGTCCAATCCCCTCTATCTTAAACTTCTAATAAAAAGGAGACAACATGTACATATATTTTGATGAATTGACAGAACATACATGTACACTGTACAAAATAAGTTACTGTAACCATAAGGATATGAGAAAATCAATGGCATGTGATTGTGGTTAAACTAAGTAGTTTTATAATTTAGAAAAATACAAAGCAGTTCATGATAGTGACTGCGGGTCTAAGGGATCAGGTTTGAGTCTGTACTAATGTCACATTCAATCGTCTCCAATCCATACATGTGTAGGAATAATAAAATGTTATAATTTTACTTGATAATTGATTTTCCTCAAACTTTTTGTTTGTTTCTGTTTTGGGGCATTATTTTGTGGGAACAGTTTGAGGAAAGTTCTGTTAAGGAACATCTGTGTGATGGAGGAAAACAGATAAAATCATGTGTCTTGCTGTGTACTACATGAATGAGAAAAAAATCCTGTGGAGAAAAATTGTACAGTGCTTGTTACTGACCAAGACTGGTCCAAATCTCTTATAATTTTGATGTTTCCAGAACCTTGCGGTACACATATGCTAGATGATCAAAATTTTCTGATCGATTCAACACTGTTTCTTTCACAATGCAATCGCATGACCAGAACTCAACTTTATCTTTAAAGGCTTGATTCATAATCATAGTTAAAGATAAAGGCCAGTTATGGTCATGCGATTGCATTGTGAAAGAAACGTTGTGGAATCGATCAGAAAAGGTGGATCATGTAGCATTATAAGTAGTGGTGTGTACTGCAAGGTTCTGGAATCATCAAAATGATAAGAAATTTGGCCCAGTCTTGGTAAAGTTACAAGCACTGTACACAGATATATGTATATGGGACTACGCGACACGTGCGCGATATCTATCAGGTCCAAATAGAATAATTTACCAAATATTAGTCAGAACATATTCTTTCACATGATTGGTAATAAGAGCTTCCATTTCATTTTTGAGAGGGGGCATTTCCAAAACTGGTCTTTACCTTTAAGACAGTAGAATTTTGTTTTGCCATGTGCATGAAACTTGTACAGTCATGAATGGTGCAAATGCTTGTAACTTTCATGCCACAAAACAGGTGGATAACAACTGGCACAAACAACAATGCATTCATGTAATTTATAAAAGTTTCTTACTGCAAAAAATGCTGTTCAAGTCAGCAATATTTAAAGGTTCTTGTTAACAAAAAAGTACTCCTGACCAGGGAATAATTTTCCTCAAATTTTTTGAATAGCAATTTCAGCCGATGGATAAATATTTCAAATGAAATTCTGTACATTTCTATGGAAGAAAACTGCTACACAAAAGATATTTTGTATAGCAGTCATGCAAAAATGCATAGCAAATTGCGATGCGATACCAGGAAAATTATTCCCTGCTGACTGTACATGTATGTACCCTGTATTGCCTGTAAGCTCTTCTTTCATTGCTTGTACTTATAGAAAAAATAGATTTCCATGGGGAGTCATTTGTAAATTCTATGCAACTTTAATTAGAGCTCAATCACCCTCTATTGCATGTATATTTTGTCCTCCCCCCCCCCCAAGTACCTTAGGGATCTTGTGTATTCATTTAGTCTAATGTAGCTCATTTTAACTTGCGTTACAGATTACATCATGAGATAATCGACTTCTACCACTTCATGCTGCCTCGTCATGAGGAGCATCATATGAGGAGAGAAGTGGTGCAGAGAATACAAGGGATTGTCAGATCAATATGGCCAAAAGCAAAGGTATGTTCAAAACGTCAAATTTTGTTATTCAAGATTTTGTTATTTTTTTAAATTTTTTTATCATTAGTATTATGTATGCATCTGTAGGTCTGTAGTGGAAAAGTTCTGAAGATTAAATGACAAAGTAGTACCGGTATGCAAAGACAGTGTATGACAGCACAGTATCATTTTTTTTTTTTTTTTACAGGGGGGGGGGGGGGGGGGGAGGAGGTTTGTGCCATATACATTACATGTAGGTAAACAGTTTTGTTAACAGGGGCTATTCAGAAGTTTTCCAAAACTACATTGTTCAGATGCACACTAATCTTACATGTAAGTATTATTTCAGTGATGTGGACATGATGACCCACAGGCCAAAATTTTGAGCCAGATCAATCCCAAATGTTGTCAGCAAGACACCAGTCTCCCCCCCCCCCCAAGGGGGAACAAAACATTTTAAAAAGTCCTAAAATGGATGAACTTACTGGAAGCAGTTCTTTTAAATTGTGTTTTGCTTGCTAACAATAACTACTGTAGTAGTAAAAGTAGATTATTTTTTATTTTGATCTACATGTACATTTTAAATTTTACTTGTTTTTTGGGGTAGTACGACAATGGTGTAGTGCACACAAAGATGATTGTCATGCACACTTGCACATTTATTTGCAGAGTCAATATTGATGTTATTGATACTGAATTGACAAATGTCAAGTGCTAAATTGGATTAAGTATTTTAGAGTGGTTTGTTACATGTTTACCTGTAAATTTGTAAGTGTAGATTACTAGATTTGAATCAAGTGTAGAAGAAACTTTTCTTCATTTGCTTTTTTCTTCATCTATTCCTTACTATCAGGTTGAGATCTATGGGAGCACACGGACAATGCTGTATCTTCCTACTAGGTAAGATTAACGTTCACTCTTTTCCTTGTGGGTTTAATGTATGGTTTATTTACGTATTACCTCTTTGACATAAGAAGTAGAAGCGTGACTTTTTATGAATAACCCATTTACATGTAACAAATGTTTCATTCAAGTCCATTACTCTTATTGTCACTCACGAAATATGAGATATGAATAGATTCATGAGATTGTAGAAGAAATTTTGAGAGAAGAGTCTTGAAAAACTATTCGCGCAGATATGCAGCATCGGGAGCACTTGCCTGATCATCAAACAAAAGACTATAAATATATATTAAAGTCTGTATATTGTGAATGGGCAAGATTTACAGAATTTTCATGCTGTGAAAGAAGAAATGACAACTCTGAAATTTTGCATTTCACAGATTTGTCTGGCTGCAAAATGTCAGTGAAAATGGCTGTCGGGAACCGTTTACAAACTTTATGGTTTTACAAGTCATTCTGTCATATTTTATGAGTTATAGAAACTCGCTAGCAAGTGATTCTCCCTTTAATAACTTGTTTGTTTATGAAATAGAAATTTTGATAAAAAATGAAACTGAAATGTTCAGCTCAAAGTACAGTAGGGGTGTAGAAAGGAAATTGATGAAAGGAAATGTGTGAAGACACATAGCTCTCACCTCAAATCTTGATTCCTACCATCTAACTATTTACATGTAGTTGATCTGTTAAAGTCAAAGACCACACAGGATTGGCCATTTCAATAGAGAAATGGGTGCTCCTGTTCATCTTGTGGACAATGTTTAGAAAATCTATTATTGAATAATCCACTGCGTAAAGATTGACAGGCATTACAAGTAAAACAAAACAAGAGCTGATTTATTTGCTTACTACTGGGTAGTGGATATAAATCATCTCATCTACATGTATGTTGACAGGGTATTACCATTTTGAAAATATGTGACCGCAAACTGACCGTGGTATACTAAGTGATTTAAATAGCCTACATCAATTTAGTTGTTCATGTACAGTACATGTATGGAGATTGTAAAGGCGATGTGACGTAAAGCAGACTCCTCCTACTCACTTCCTCTTCTGTTTACCATGACGTTGCTAGCGTTGAAGTGAGATAAGCAGGAAACATGCCTAATATGGGGTCACTGTGGAACTTTTGTAATGACACACTTTAATGACACACTTTAATGACAGTTATTTTTTAGTTGTTACGCAATTTTGTGGTTTCGCTCAGAGAAAAGAATAGTGTGATCAAAATTACTAATTTTTTCCTCAAGTGCAAGTGGGAATTAATGTGTTATCATGTAGACCTACGTCATTTGTCCGTAGATTTATTGAAACTTGTACTGTATGCTAGATAATTTGCACAGCACAAGTACAATCAAAATCAATGAGTTTAGGATTTTTTATGTACAATTTAAAATATTGTTCATGTACTGTACATGTACATTGTTGTCAATATGTAATTAAAGGAGGCATTTAAATTTAAAATTTAAGTTATTGATATTGAATAAATTACATCTGCATACAGGTTGTACATGTACTGTAGTATGGAATGCAGGTTGATAAAATTTGGACCTACAGGTACATGTATTCACATCTCTTTCCAGGATTCTAAGTACCGGTACTCAACCTTAAAAAAATGAAGAAAAAAAATACAATGACCACTCCCCATCCCCATAAAATATGGGGTGCATGTAGAATCTGGAGCATCTGCCCTGTAGCCGTTGCGAGTATTTAATTTTTGTACCTCTTATTTTGTTGTCTATTTGACGTCTCAACTTACGAATAGTTATTCCATTATATGTTATGCTCTTTTGGGTAATCTAATATCTGCAATGTACATGTGTAGGATGTTTTTGTAACCCTTGTGTTCCCTTCATTTTTTGTGTGTATATTAATAGTGACATTGACTTGGTCCTCTTTGGTGATATTGGTGAAAGTCCATTCTTCAGACTTGGCAATGAGCTGGAGAAAAGTGGAATCGCTGAGCAAGGAAGCATCAAAGTGTTGGATAAAGCCTCAGTAAGTTCATAAGTTGATATTCATCCTTCATGGGAACTACATGTACAATAAAAAAAGGCCAGATTGTTATGATTGGAGATATCAAGTTGATTGATAAATCTTATCAGTTGGTCCAAAGTCAAAGTAAATATTTCTCTGTTTACTTAAAATATTGTGAATTCAAGAATATTTTCCATAAACTTGAGTATGCTTTCGTGATTGGTGAATGATGGATGACAGGTCATGTTTGGAATGTAATGTTATGACATGTGAACTAGATTGTAAAGTATGTCTAAATGATGAATGAACAAACTCTTATTTCATCGACTTTGCACTACAAATGAAGATTGGTGTTGAAGTCTAGGAAAACAACCTTAATTACATGTAAAGTTTGATTTTGTTCTAATGAAATGATTTATATTTCAAATACAATTGTGTGGTTTATAATGCCCTACATACATTGTATGTGGCATCTCAAGATCTATTTTACCTGAAATAAACAAAGTTGTTTTTAAAATGAGAGCTTGATGTTGGTTTGGACATTACCAGCTGCATGATACTCACATCTCAATACCTATTACAGATGTTGCAAGAAAAATCTACATGTAGATCAATATTATTTTTCATATATTATAAATTATGTACACAGGAAGGGTACAAAGTTTAGAAAAAAATAGGTTATCCTGGAAGTCCATGCAGAGAGCAAAGTACAAAGGGCTATATTTGACTCGATCAATAATAGCTCTAGTTTGTATTGCAAGGTTGGTGGAAAAAACCCAGTCTCTTATTTGTGTGGGTGGGAGTGTACTCTTCCATGATAAGAGGCTCTTTTTTTTGGGGGGGGGGGGGATGAAGAAACATTTTGCCTGAACTTTAAAGCTCTTTTTAATGGCTTTTCCTTTCGCTTATGTTCCATAGGTTCCCATAGTGAAGTTGACAGATAATGTCACTAAAGTACGTGTTGACATTAGCTTCAACATGCAAACAGGGACTGACTGTGCCAAGCTCATTGAGGTTTGTATTTTCTTGCTATAAATTATGTTTACGTGTGGCTGTAAATGTTTACAGTTTACACTGTTATATTTCTTCTTCACTGTATTTCTTGTTTTATGTGAACATGGAGGTAGTTATGGTTATGATCAGAGAAATAAATGAAGACACTGACTAACACAATGAACTTCATAATTAAGACTTGATAGCCATCTTAACAAATACATGATATTCTGCCAACAGACTATGAAAGAAAATGAATAAAAATAATAGTTGAGTAATCAATTTGGTCCATCAGGAAATCTATAAGATACCATTTTTGTTGTCTTTATTGAGAATTAAATTTTTCTTTTAGAACCCATAAATTTCTTGAACAATCTACATGTAGGTTCTTGGACATGCCAGAGAAACATGTTTTATAGAATTAAATGAACATGAGTTTCTGTTGGATGTCCGCAAACTTACATGTAGACTTACATATACACTGTACATGTATGACTGTTACAAGAAACTGACCCCAGATTACCTGGAAGTATTGCAAAGAATTCAAAGTTTTTTATCGTCTTTCTTAATCCACTTCTAGAGATATGCCATGTGCATACATGTAGCTTTTGTGTACTTATAGACTGGGCTTTTGATAACATATTGTTCAATGCTTATCACGCTGGGAAGAGTTCGGGATTTTAATAATCGGTATATACTTGTGTGTGATCATTATGTACAAATGAAACATTGCATGTGTACTGACTGCGACTGTATGCAAAGATGTAAACCCTCCCTTTAAACACAATCTAAATGTATAAGGTACACGTAGCTGCAATATGTAGCATAGGCTATACATCAGACTGAAGCACAGTGATGTGACACAATTGCTGCACTGAAGACAACTGCTAATATCAGCTCAATGTAAATTATAGAGTGGCATCTTGGAGAGTGTGGCCTTTTCAATATTGGTACAACGGATGCAACAATTTTCATTAAACTAATACCAATGTTCCCCTTTAAAAAGCATCTTCATAGATAGGTACAATGTGTAAAAGCTGTGCCATTACATGATACCATAATCACTGTGCACATCTTGTAACATCAGCTCAATGTAAATGTACCGTAGAGGATGGTGTGGCATCTTTTAGAGTCTGACCTTTTCAAAATTTCTCGGAAGATATAAATGCAACCATTTCCATTAAAGAAAAAAATGTGTGATGTCCCCCTTTAAAAACATCTTGAAGCTATGTAGAGTGTGTAAAGGTAGTGGCATGACATGACACCGATGTCACTGTGCACAGCTGCTCTTATCAGCTCAATGTACATGATAGTGTGGCATCTTGGCGAGTCTGACCTTTTGCTCAACCAGCTTCTTCTTGTGAGTGTTAATGAGCCAGGCCTGGCCGGTTGGCTAGCTGGCTGGCTGACTGACTGGTTGGTTGGTTGGCCAGGCCTCTGCTTTGATAACCCAATCCTCCCTGACAAGCCTGGAATGCCTGCCTTGACTAAAAATAGGCTATCCCACCAGCCGCACATTGCTCAGGAGAGGAGCAGAGTAGAATTTAAAGAGTCCTCTCTCTCTCTCCTTCAATGTCTTGGCAGTTATGATCTCAATATTGTACTGTATTCTGTATGCATACTTGTATGGACTATGGAGGTGTCTTCTTAGCCAGAATACATTAAAGGTAAAGACCAGTTTTGGAAACGACCCCCTCTCAAAAAATGAAATGGAAGCTCTTATTACCAATCATGTGAAACAATATGTTTTGACTAATACGTGATGATACAAATTTTGCTGAGAAACCGCCTACTAGTTGATATATTTGGTAAATTAATTATTATCTATTTGGCCCTGATAGATACATGTAAGCGCACGTATCGCGTAGTCCCATATGCATATTTCTGTGTGCAGTGCTTGTAACTTTACCAAGACTGGGCCAAACTTCTTTTCATTTTGATGATTCCAGAACCTTGCAGTACACACCAATACTAAATATGCTAGATGATCAACCTTTTCTGATCGATTCCACACCGTTTCTTTCACAATGCAATCGCACTCCATAAGTGGTCTTTTTCTTTAAACCGACATCATTTATCTTCAAGAGTTAATTTTAATGTACAGCTTTGGAAAAAGAGAAATATAATGTCTGAAGCACAGGCATAGGATGATTTTTTAAAGATAATTTAGAGTATGAAGTAATTTGTATGCGACCAAAGATTTCATGTACATTAATAGGTACAAATTTCAGGGGGGGGGGGGGGGTGGAGGATATTGTAAAAATTGTAGAAAAGTGTTTTGGAGTAGTTCTGCTTCAAAGAAGTTTGATGCCACAAACTAGTGGAATCACAAAACTAAAATTTACAATAAAAACAAAAATTTGCCATGAAAAGGCTGTCCATGACAATCTCGCAAGTTACATGCCTTGAATATGTGTGGTTCGCCATGAGTTTGTAAATAGTTAATACACATACTAGAGCACTATCAATTTCTACTTTGAAAAATGTTATGTGTGATAAGACAGATCTATCATGTCAGATATATCATGCAATGTATCACAATTTGGGCATATCGTCTTGATTGATGAAGTTCTTAAACAAGTTAAATTGACATGAGGAAGTATGCATGATGATTTGTGCTCTTCCTGCAATATACACTGTAGAAATATTCTTATTGACTAACAAACTTGGCAAGCCTTCACAGACACATACATTTGCTATCAAAGGTGAATGATATTACATGTATGCACATGTGAACATGTACAGTATGTGAAGAATGTCAGTCACATCAGGCAAAGGGTTTCTCTGTAGATGCTCTGGCCCTTGGAGTTACCGGTATTTGTGTGGAGCATACCTTTGTGTGTGAATGCATTTTGTAAGAAAGGTTAGGTCAGAATTTAAATGTCCGCTCTTCTGCATTTATATATAATAATATTGTTTTTAAATGGTCTGTACTCTGTAACATTTATAATATTACTGGGGAATCTGTTAATGTAGGATCAGTTTTCCCTCAAGATGAAAATTGTAGGGAAAAGAACTTGTAAGTGGGCAGTTGAATTGAAAACGCCTTTGAAAAACACCTATATTTGTAATTTATGGTTATCTCTGGGATAATTAATACATGTAGAGCAATTAAAATGGCAGTGGTATGCAATATGTATCGTATAATTGCTACATTATCTAACAACCTGTAAAATCATGTTGTTACCCATTTTTCTAGGAACAGTTAGAACATGTCTTACAAAACAGCTATTTACCGAGTTGGTATTTTATGAAAACCCTGTTGTGTATTACTTTTAGGTGCATGATGCAAAAATCAAATTTAAAAACATGTATTTAGTCAATTAAGTCAAGTCAATGATATATTGGTCATTGGTCCATACCCATCAAGAGTAGAGAGCATGCATTCACATTTCACATTATAAAGTGGATCTCTTTGTAATGGATTTTTGCAATGCCATTGACCATCAACTTCCTGAAATGCACACAGATGGTGAACACTATGAACAGAAAGTATGTACCGGTAGATCCATTGATACATTGTAATCGTGCACATTTGGCAGGCACTCTCCAATGATATATGGACATGAGGAATGTCGGGCTCATAGATAGGTTGCCTGTATCTTGTTGCAGTGTAGATATCATACAGACAGGAATTTGAAATCCACCTGTCTCTTTAGGTGTGTAATTCTAGACATGTACATCATGCTCGAGCGGCCTGGCTATGTGAAAGATCACAATACACATTTACACATTTACACATTTTTAGTCTGAATGCATAGTTGCATTTTATATTGGATGCTATTATATAGATTGGATAAAAGCCCATACCAATAAGCATAATTAAAAGACTGTTCTCCATGACCTATGCATAATAATTCAAACATCTGCACATGTATGAATACTAACACATACCAATGGATATGAAGGAATTCTACAATGTCTCTGACACCCATAATATCTGAATGAACTCATGGCAAGTGTCAAACTAGAGAGCAACATTGATATGAAAAAAACCATTGGCTATTTTTGTTGTAAAGGAATGAATGACGAATTCAACAACAAAAATATCTTGATCAAATAAATGTATTTGACTCCATACAATTTCTCCCCTACTTGACATTTTTCCGTTGTGATTTTATTTTGATGCTAATTTGAAGTAATTTTTATTTTGCCTGTATTTACAGCAATTTACATTCTAATGAAAAATTATGTTTGTCCGTTTGCGAGTACCACTTAACTTTTTCTAGCTCTTTAGTGCCAAAATATTTCAGCCATTGTATACGTGAGATGAGATAGTTATATTTGTTTTCCTTTATTGACCAAACTTTGTTGCTTCATGAAAAAACAGTAATGTAGGAAAATTGTGAACACCCAATGACAGATGAACATGGATTTGATAGAAGAAGACGGAGACACCGCAGGGTTCAAAACAACTATTTCTAAGGCGACTTTGATAGTACTTTTTAACCTTCACAGGTTTTGCTATGAAATTCTTTTGTTTTCAAGTTGCTGTTGTTCCACCTTACCTTACCACTAATACCAGAACCGCAGACAAGATTAAACAGTTTATTCATGTTGCTGCTTTTTCCTTTAGAATTTTCAAGCATTTTTTTTCCTTCTATATTTTAATTCATTCCTACAGGAGTTTATATGTCAGTTTCCTAGCCTGCCTTTCATGGTGTTTGTACTCAAGCAGTTCCTTCTTCAGAGAGACCTCAATGAAGTATGGACAGGTGGTATCAGCTCGTACAGCCTCATCCTCATGATCGTCAGTTTCCTCCAGGTGAGCTAAAAAAAACCAACGCTCCGTGTGGCATGGTATAGTGGTTCATTCGCTTGACTCTCAATCCAAAGGTTGAGGGTTTGAATCCTTGCCTGGCACTGACGTCGTTTAGCAAGACATTAATCCACATTAATGTCTCGACTTTCTTCTTGCATGTGTTAAATGGGTACCAGGTAGGATGTGAAATTCAATTTAGTTCGCTCAGCATTGTGAATGCTGGAATGCTCCCCATAGAGTGGAGAATGTGCATATATTGTATGGGGGGGCAAGTCTGAATCCAATGACCTATTATATCGGCTATGATACCAAATGTTGAAATGTGTACTACAAGGTAAATGCTGACAGTTCCAAGAAACCATTTCATTGTAAGTAGGGTTTTGATAGACTAGACATCTCTTCATGTAAGTATGGTCATTTACAAGGCCCTTGAGGGGTAATTGATCCTCAAACTTTAAATAATTACTTTCAACAGATATTCTGCAACTCATGTGAGCTTAAAGAGAGAGGAAGTTAATTTGCTTGACACTGAACATTTAATTTCCTGTATCGCCCATTGCACTTTGATACCAGGAAGATGATTCTTTCAATTTTATTCTGCTGTAAAAGCAGGTCTAGTTTTTGTTTCATTAGCTGCACGGTTGAATTGTAAAATGAGATATCACTTATGCAAGAAGAGGAAGAAGTTTATAATGGGAAAGTTATAACTAATTTCTATATGTAACTGAAACTTTATTCTGACAACCCTTTTGACATGACCATTTTGTATTGGGAGTTACCTTTAACACACATTCCTGTTTGTTTCACTTTCTGTTTGCTTTCATAATGTCCTTACTGTAATGATTTTGATTTGTAGCCCTTGTTATGACAGTACCTGCATTTAGACCTCCGGTACTAACGACAATGGCATAATGTGGGACCAGCTGTTGTGGGGGCACAAGAGTGGTAGTGGGGGTGGCATCAAAACTATTACATGAATGAACTGCAAGGGAACAAGTCCATAGAATGCATAGATTGAGGGAGGTTGTGAAATGACATCATTTTATTTTCACATTGCCTTTTTTCTCTCCCTTTCTTTCTTGTATTATCTGTTTCACTATACTTGAGTCCCCTCTTTTCCCCACTATTAGATGGATAGGGCATGTGTCTCCCCCTGAACCCTGGGCTATTGATTAACCATGTGTGATTATCTTTATAGTTACACGCACCGCCCGAGCCTGAGAACCTTGGCGTACTCCTGATCGAGTTCTTTGAGCTGTACGGGAATAGCTTCAACTACTTCAAGACAGGCATCAGCGTGACTGAAGGGGGCTACTACTTCTCCAAGGAGGATGCCCAGAGGAAAATGACTCAGGGATACAGGACATCTATGCTCTGTATTGAGGATCCACTCAACCCAGGTACATACATATAACAAACCTCAAAATAACTCTCTCTTTTTATCTGCAACAGCCAGGCTCTATGAAAATTTCAACGAAAACAAAATTGTAAGTGATGGAATGGTCAGTCAATATAGGAGCCATTTTGGTATATTCTGATAGGAAATACCTGTGAGCCGCCCTTTCTCTGTAGCATTGCATCCTGGGGACCCTCCCCTTCAACTGGAAAACTAGAAACTGTAGTGAAATTTGGTTTTTATAAATCTTGATTTTGCTACATGAAATATTGACAGATCTTGACCACTCGCAAATTCTCAAAATTTCACACACACCAGAGCTTCTGTTACCTTTCATTTGTCTGTTTGCCCCTGTCCCCACTTTTTTTTTATCAGTGTACACCTTAGAACATACAGATCAAAGCTTGGGCGCCTATCATTCATCGTTTGGAAAATTGAAGCTGTGTTTATGCTTGAGACAGTTATTTGTTTTTGTTAAAGGTAAAGACCAGTATTGGAAACGCCCCAATTTCAAAAAATGAAATGGAAGCTCTCATTACCAATCATGTGAAAGAATATGTTTTGACTAATACATGATGATAAAAAATTTGCCGGGAAACCGCCTACTAATTCATATATTTGGTAAATTCTCTCATGGTCTGTGAGAGATATAGGGTAGTCCCATATACATCTTTCTGTGTATAGTGCTTGTAACTTTACAAAGAATGGGCCAAATTTCCTATCATTTTGATGATTCCAGAACCTTGCAGATGCTAGATGTTAGGTGATCAACCTTTTCTGATCGATTCCACAACGTTTCTTTCACAATGCAATCGCATGACCATAACTGGTCTTTACTTTTAAGGATAATATTTAAAATCTGCTTGGGTAGAAACTTGCCTCGAGGGGGTAAGAGACATAAGTGCCTTGATGTCTGTACTTCCTTTTCCAGTATTTCTAAGGTTTCTCTACTCATTTTGTGTTTACAGGTCAGGACATCACCAAGAACTCGTATGGGTTCATGTCGGTCAAGCAGGCCTTCCACTATGCCTACAGGGTTCTTTGTCAAGCTGCAATACCTCATATAGACCAGGAGGATGAGACAGACAGGTATGCTACCTACTCAAAAACACGCTGTAGATGTTATATGAAAAAGAGGAAAGAAGAAGAAGAAACAACTAATTGTTTTTAGCAGGAGCCTTCTATAACCCTTTCCAGTGATTTGTTAAGAAATTTGTTGCTCCATTTAGTATGATTTTGTTTACAGATCTTACTTTAAAAAACTTTCGGGAAGATGAGTTTTGAATAGGGTAAGAATTCTGAAAGAAATGATTTTTCTGTTCAAAGCCAGAAGGGTGTTAACTCAGTGCAGAGCTGCCAACTAGTACGGATTCCCGTAATTGGTACGGAAATTAACGACCATTACGGAATGTTGTTTAAAATTACGGATTTTTTTTTTTTTTTTTTTTTTTTTTTTTTTTTTTATATTTTTTTTTCTCCCCCATTTTTCCTGGAAGACTGTGTTGTGATGATATGAAACTCATTATTTAACAACTTTGTGTGAGTAAAATCACCAAAAATGTCAGATAATCATGTGTCTGTGCAATGTTGGCGTGCCGTTTTTATTAGAGTCATAGCGCCGCATAGGAAATTACTGATTTATACCCAAAATTACTGATTTTGAGCCTTGTGATTACTGATTTTCGGTTCTGGAGGTTGGCAGCTCTGTCAGTGCTAAATACAGTCAAACCTGCTTTAGTGACCACCTGTCTACAAAGACCATATTTTTTGTTTCCCTTTTGAATGGTTTCTCATTGAAACATGTACTAAAGGTACCTGTCTACAAAGACCACTTTGTGTGTTTCCCTTGGGCAGTCACTATAGACAGGTCCGACTGTACATGAGTTATGCCATTCTGGCTCCAAACAGGTGACATGTACTTTTTCTAAAAATGAAATATCCTGGTGATTTCTAGGTTATTATGTAATCTTATTTCTTCATCTTCTTCTGCATTCTGCAGTATCCTTGCTCGTATCATCCGTGTGACAGACGAGGTGGTTACCTATCGTCAGTGGGTCCAGCAACATTGGTATCACAAGGTAGCTAACCTTATACCTCCAGCCATGATACCAAGCATGCATTACCTTCATATGGTTGCTATGAATCAACTACCACTCCCAGACAACACTGCCATCAGGATAGACAACCAAGGCAACCAAGCACAGCAGCAACAGCAACAACAGAAACATGCCAACAACAATAATAACCCCACAACTCTCAATAACAATAATTTGAGTGCAAGGACTACCACGCCCACCACAAGTTGTTCCTCCCCTTCCCCCATCCCCTCGGAGGAAGGGGTTGTGGACAAGAGTGTTACCCTGGCTGGCCAGGGTTTGAATGAACTCAGGACAGTGTCAACCACCACCACCACCACGACTACCACCATCACCACAAGCACCCCTACCAGGTTGCAACAACTTCCAGTGCACCAGCAGGTGCAGCTGAGCCCGGAGAGCCCTCCTGTAATAGGGATGCCTTCCAGTCCTGAATCGGATGCCAACTCTACTGGAATGTTATCTTCACCTTCATCTCAAGACGATCTTTCAAGCTGCAGTGATGCGGTAAGTGACAGCACTTTAATCATCCGTAAATTTGCTAATACCGGTAAGAGGAGAAATAAGGAGTGAAGTGTAGAAAGTGTTGGATTGGTGTTTCAAAGAACTTAGATGTATGTTTTTTCTCCCCCCCCCCACCAAACAATTCACTTAAATGTAACTTAGTGCAAGTTGTTCACCTAGTAGTTTTACGAGATTGTCAAGTTATTGGATCTTGAGTCTCTGCTGATTCTAAGTAAACTAATAAAAATTATAATGTTTTGGAGTATGTACCAAGTAGCGATTGCCATCTAGATTCTAAGTAATGATTTTCAATAAGTACCAAAGAAGTTTTCTAAAGTGTAGTAACCATGGCTGCCTTTTCCCATAAACGTTTGATCTGTCAATAACATAGTATACAATGTTCATCTATGATATTGAACAGGAATCTGAGCATTCTACTGCTTCATCAAAGGACAGCGGCGGAGAGAGCATGATGAAGACCACTCCTCCTCTACCCCTGCCTCCTCCTCCTGGACGTCATATCAATGCCACCGTGACGGTAACCAGCTCCAGTATGATGACACCATCTATCATCGTATCAAGTTCAACATCACAAAGGACAGCTACTCCACCTATAATCAAACCATCCGCCGTACTGCTAGGGAGTGGTACCAACACCACCGTCACCGGGGCCGCCTCTAAGCCAAAGCCTGCCAACAAGGACGGGGAAGGCCCCAAGACGGTCAGCATGAGCAGTTTAGTTGTGACGCACAAGGGCGAAGCACAGGCTGCACCAGCGACCTCGACCATATCCACCACGTCATCGGCGGCGCCAGTCACGAAGGTGGTCCCGGTCACGACCACAGTGACGAGCATTCAGCAACCTGTCACCTCAAGGACGTATCGCAACAAGAGCCACCAGTATAGCTCCCAGGGGCAGCAGAGCAGTGGCAAGTACCGCAATTCGTCGGCGAGCAGCAGCTCAAACAACAACAATACAACAGGGAATGGCAATGTCAGCGGGGGGAAGCGATTAAAACGCAGGCATAAACAGAACGGCGGTGCCGCGAATCGATGATTGTTGCTTCAGATGTAACAAAAACATGAACCTACTTGTATAAAAAGAAAAGATGAAGGAAATACTGATCAAAGAACATTGAGAAGATTGAACAACTCTGTACAGTGTGATGATGAATGTTGTGTACAAAGTAGGCATCCATCCAGTACACACTAGCAACACTGAAATGGGATCCACACTGCTCGTCTTTTTCTCTAGGTATGTGTGGAATCTGCTTTTTTAATCGGTTGGTCACTGAGAGTATGTTTTTATATTTTGTTACGTCTGTGTATCAAGTCACCCATTGAACTGTTTATCTATGTTCTGAAACAAGGCCAACAAAATGGAATATGAACTGGGAACAAATGGCCAGTCATTGCTACCATCATAGAACTTCCAGACTTTGCTCAGTATTTGTGGTAATGATGTACTGAAAACATGATTCAACATTACCCTAAATATGCATGTGCCTCGAGTAGTTCAAGTGAATATCACTCAATTCTTTGCTGATGTTGGCTTGTGTAAACTGAATTAATATAGAAATGTGCTCCGTTTTAGCTGCCTTATGTAGGAATTTTGTAACAGAAACGAAAAAGGAAAACTATTGCATTTAGAATGATGTCTCTTGGGAATCTTTAAAAAAAATATCTGGAAGAGAGAAAAATAGCCTCACAAAGATGATGTTAATTTTGTTATTGGTCTTTTAGGTAGTTTCTTTAATTTTCAGTTAAGAAGAATTCTATTTGACCCAAGCACAATGTAAAACTGCTGAGGCACAGCATCATCAACTCAGCACTCAAACTGTTCTTGACAGAGGAGCTTTCGATGTGCCCTGCTACTTAATAAGATATAGAGGGTAATATTTTCTGTGGCTTGATGCGGCATTCGTCACGGGCAACGACTTATGGGAGAAGTAGGAGAGCAGAGATCCTTCACTGTTCTTGTTATCTGATGATAGATGATTACATAGTCCAACCTATCTTCAACACAGATTTGAGATGTTGTTAGCTTGGATGCAATATTATCACAGTAAAGTACATCTGTCCTGACATTCGGTTCATTTCAGAGACTCCATGTAAAACAAGTTGGTCAATGATTTTTGTGTATATTACATGCCACTGATTGTATATTTTTGTCCAAAAAAAGTGCAACATACAACTGATTCTCGAAGTTCAAATATTTTTTTTCTGTTTATTTTCTTATCTTGCAGGGTCAGGAAAAAAAAATCAGACAAAAAATGATGTGTATAAATAACTATGAACATTGTTTAAGTTGCATGTGAAGAGTTGTACAGTATTCCTCGTTCATTATGTTAGTGCATAGGACAAGTATGTCGATAAGGGGTGTAGTGAAACATTGTCATTCACTCGTACATGGAAGATACTTTCCTTCATGTCAAATCTGGAAACATTGTTTTGATGACAAATTTCGGTCTATTATTCATACTTGTAAATGTGATTATCTATTTTGTTTGGTACATGTCACATCCCACACACAGAATCTTTCAGCTTTTTTCTAAAAAGGAGGTATGTGGTAATTGTGGTTGTGTTTTATCATCGCCTCGCATTTTGAAAGGAATGAAAAGGGAATGTACGATTATGAAGGGAAGTATGTAAGATATTTATGCAAGGCAAGAGAATGATTCATGTAAATGTTCATTATATTTTTTACCTTGAGATACTTATTTTTTTGTGATTGTTTTGTATGCAAACAAGTGAAATTCATATTTTTGTTGTATTTTTGTCTTCATTGCTATATTTTTTGTCTCACACAAAGTTTTATATACCAAAGTGCTCAAATAGCTCCAGCCTTTGTCAGGCAAACGTATTTATAGGATGTTCATGTCTTTTTATTTTTATTTTGTTGTTGATGGGAATGGGTTGAGTTTTTTCCTTTTTTTTCTTTTTCTTTACTCATTTTGTATTACAGGAGTTACAACCTAAAAGCTGAAAAATCTAGATGGTCAATCCCATTATTCCCGTAGTAATCTTTGTTTACTTGTCTGTTCTGATTTACTGCCATGTTTTGAAAAGAAATCATAGACTCCATTGCTGTTTATTTTGATTGTGATATCAAACTCATTTCACAAACATCTCATTAACTTGGAAGCTTCTTTCTTTTTGGAAGATCAAACAAAATATTAACCATTTGAAAGATTTTGTGTTTTGTAATCGATAGATCTTGATCTAAACACTGTTTTTGGTATAGCGATATCTTTTTAAATTTCCTTTCTGAGATTAATGGGACCATCTAAACTGGGAAATCTTTCCAGTCCTAACCATTGTGTATACACGATAAAGAGATGGGGAAAGTGAAGAAAAACAGCAATGTAATTCCAAACTCAAGGTGTAATTGCTTAAGACCTAACATTACCATGCAATAAGTATCACAATTATGACTGTCAGATTAGAGTCGTTATGACAAAGATAGTGCAATAACAACTTTGCCATTATTAGAAAAGTGATGACTGTATTATGTATTCATCTCCAGGGCGTGTACACCACCTTGCCCTGTGTTTTACAGTGCTTCAATTAGATGCAAACATAAGACTGCTCAATGGATGGGCAGTATACCCATACAACTGTACGTACCCATATGCAATGCCAAATAACACTGGAAACTGTTGAGAACTGAAGCATGCATTTTGCGTTGCTGTAGACAAGGATGCCAATCTGAATGCAATATCCCAGTGACACCCACAATGGTATAATCTGTTTATCATGTCCAGGAAAGCTTGTTGTAGCAGGAAATTTTATTTTTGTGAAGTGATTTGCAAGGAAGAGAAACTTGGTGCTGTTGATGAAGGCAGTGTACGACATTGCCACGGTGCAATAGCCTCTCAAATCTCAATGTCGATACCTATGACCCTTGAGGTCAAGCAAGAGTCATTTAAAGTTTTGAATTTCTTTCCGGCAGAGAGGAACTCTGTTTTTTGTTTGTTGATCTGGCAAGGAAAAAATTTCTGAAAATTCTTTGAGAAGATGTAAGTTTGTTCCCCAAATCATCAAGTGGTTGTTCTTGCAATCACAGATATGTGTTGGGACTTGGGAAGTGCTTTGTTCAATCAATGGGACATCTTTGCAAATGCCCAATTCTCATGTGGACTTTTTGTAGTTAATATGCATGGTGGCAAATACACCTACATGTAACACATCAAACACCACAGATACTTTTAGAACATGAAAGGTGTTTCCAGCAGAGTAGCTACAAACAAATCCACATAACAATTTTGAACAAAGATAGATTTAAGGTAGATAGACTGACCATTGGCAACCCCCCCCCCCCCCCCAATTTTGTCCTGAAATGATGTGTTATCTTCTTGACATTCCATAATGTACGTTACATCATCCTGTCAGTCATGTTATCATTAGAGTTTCTAAATCGAAACCCCGTTATACTGAAATACATTACATCTACCAATCCATCCATCCAAAGTAGAACATCAATCCGGCACATCTGTCATCAGACCCAATAATTAAGCTACAAACAAAAGAGTCGGGTGTCTTATTTCAATTTTGTATAAAGTGTATGACAATCTTTGAGTGTCCTGTAATGATATTCTTTCTTTTTATGTATGCACATGAAAGTCTTGCACCTCGCTGGATGATCTAGCATAAAAAGAATATTTTCAAATACATCTATTACCCGGGTAACACATCCCTCACTTCATGGAAAACAACCCCCTATAAAGCACTTTTCAGTATTTTTTAAACATTTTTTTGGAGGAGAAAGAGATAAGTTGTCTTTTAATTACTGACTTTCTTCCGTGGTTGAATGTTCTTTATACTTGTGTACAAATCACCTATACTTCCAATCTTTTCTATGATTGTTTAATACAAAATGTTGGATGAAAGTGATGATGGTAATTATGATGTTGATATGATGGTGTGTGAGATATTGATGATGATAATGATGTTAAATGAAGTGATCACCATGACTGATTTAGTGATAATGATGCCTTAAGCATGTAATTGACATTGTCGGTTACAATAACCCTCTTAATTGATTTTGTTGAAACGTGTATGTGACAGTTATTTCCTTTTTCATATAATTTGCAATATTTTTTGACAACAGTTCCTTGATAATGTCTGTAGTAGTTTACATTGAGGAAGATCAATTGCTGGACAATTTTTATGTAATAGTATGTGCTCATATCAAGCACATACATACTGCAAGTGTTGAGTAATACTTCTGTGCATGTTTTTGTAATGCATTTTATCATATGGGAAAAAACATCAAGAACATGGAATTTATCACCCATTATACTTGTATTGCACAGTAGGTTTCTTCATCATGGATTGAGTGACACTAAAAATATTTGTACCGGTAGTCAAGATCGGCATGAACATATAGGTGCACGTTATATTTGACATTTACAGTATTTCAACTCAGATCAAACTACCCAGCACATCACTCCTTACTTTAACAGGAGTGACTTTTTTTTGCTTACCGTATATGGACTTCTATGGTACTTATTATTTGAATCATTCATCAATTTTACTTTCAGAAAAATATTATTTTATGCGACATTTCCCCCCTTTTTTTTATCCACCCTTTTTTTTATCCACCATTACCTTTAAAAAGAAAACATTTAATCTTTTGTTAACCATATATTCTGATTTCATAGTACTATTTTTTTTTTTTTTTGCATTGAAGGTACCAAAACAAGTAATCACTATTTGTTGACAGATTTATTCCATTGTCGTTGGGGTAAACGCAATGCCAGAATATGTCTTTGAGATATTGAGGTTTCTTAGGAGAGTTTACTGACTTAATAATCCTACCATTCATGCCTTTTGTTGTTCATTGTTCAAAGTTTCTGTATAATTTGTTTATGTAAGTAACTAGCTCTGTGTCGGCACAGGGCTTAAAAATTGACCAGATGTAAAGATTTTTTTCCTGTATATTAGAAAGAAAAAAATGTAAAAAGTAAAACAAAAAATTATGAAGAAAAAAAAAGCAAAAATAAATATTTTATCCTTGCATTTAATGTACACAAGTTATTTAAGTTTTCAGATCAGTCAAAAAAAAAGGAACGGTTTTGGAATATTTTAATTGTGAAACGTATTTTAAAGTGGTGCAAAAAATTTCTCCATGTTTCAAGTATGAATAGAAAAGAAATCTCCATGTCTATTTTCTCTACAATTTCTTTGAATGGATAGCAATATTTTCTGTAGAGAATGCTTTCTCTGCAAAGAAAACAGAAGACGTGACACACTTCAACATAAAAACTCACATTTACACATGCCAGTCTAGCCTTTTCTTCAAGTATATGATAACGAATCTTATATGAAACGGTTCAATTGCACATATTGTACATGTACAAAAAAATGAGAAAAACAAAAAATGTTACCAAAAAAACTTATAAAAAACCAATAAAAATAAAATAAAAAGTTATAAAAAACAATAAAAATTAAATAAAAACTTGATAAAAAAAATGAATCTACCTTGTGTTTTTATTTGAGTTGTCTCATTTTATGCAGATGTGATATATCTCATTTCTTCTTTAGTCATATCTATTCCTCTGTCTTTCTCCTATCCTCTCTCTGTTCCCACTTTTTCTCATTTCATATTTTTCTCAATCATTGGACACTTTTCTAGTAACTGGTTGTTCTCTTTCTCTCACACTCTTCAACTCTCTTTCTGTTCATTCTTTCATGGCTCGTTGTGACATGGATGTTCATGATCTGGGGAAAAATAAAGATTAACGCGAACACCTCGGTCACACCGAGAAACCAACTCCAAACTGATTGTAAACCGACCAATTACTGGCTATTAGGGGTAGAATATTATTTTGTTTGGTCTGTTGTTAGTCTAATATTGATCTCTTATGTGTACCCGCAGTATCATGGGCACAAGGGACATTGTAGGTGCTCAAAATCTTTGGCCGGACCCCCCAAATTAGAAAAATGTAACATGAAGCTCGTGTCTACAGATCCTAAAAAGTTCAATCTGGAACACGTTTCACAAAGCTTTTTATTTCAATGACAATTGACCAAAGTCAGTGACAAATCTGCTGATAACCAATCAGAAGCAAGGATTTCAGTAGCTTATAACAAAAACTGTCATTTGTCACTGATGACAAGTTTTGTGAAATGGGGCCCCTGGACTACCGATGATAAAATAGAGCCCCGCTATAGGAAAAGGCATCCTTTGGGAAAGGGGTTCAGTGAATATCACTCTGGAGAAATTCGACACGGCCGAATGTGGAAGGATAAGGAAGGGTGGGGAAGATCATAGACATACGTGTATTAGATATTCATCTTGTCGGGAGGAAATTGTACATATGAACAAGCCACTCTGTGATTACAAAATATTTCATTTATTGTGGTAATATTCTGTTTTAATTAAAAAGAAAGTTAAAAAAAGGCATGCCCCAGCCAAACATGGCCAGCCTCATTCATACACTATAATAAACATTTAAAAGAATTATTTTAAATAAACCAAGCAGCACAATAAAATAATATAAGTGAACTGCGATTTACACTTTTTTTTATTTCTTCCACACTCTTAAATGCTCGGTGGCTTTTGTTCCATACACCTACATTTTACAAATATGCCTGCCATTCATTTAGATGAATTTATCTTTTATTTGGCAATGCAGTCTTTTAGGGTTGGCCCACCATGTCTGAACAAGGCTCTAGTAGATCCAACTGCACATTAGTCCAGAATCTGGCCGATTTAATTCTAAATAATCTTCACTAATATAAAGAGATCTCTCCTTACTTGCTGCAAGTCAAAGATTGTGTGATCTACAAATTTTTACGCCCCCACCAAAAAATACACCAACAGAGTCATGGATCACGTCATCTTCGGCATGCAGCAGGTGGGGATGGGAGAGATTACAATCACAAAATAAAATAACACCGTCCAGATTCTGGACTACTTGAACACATGTACATTTACTTCCCTAAAACAATCTGACAAAATGAAAATGGGACTGGTACTACAAGTCTGTTCATTTTTTATTTTTTCATATTTGATAAGTTTTTATTGATCTAATAACATTTTTACTTTCAACATAAACATAATACAAGTCTGTTTATACATGAACTGGTTTTATATCCATCAATCATATATATATATATATATATATAAAATATATATATATATATATATATATATATATATATATATATATATATATATATATATATATATACAATTCACATTGTATATATGTATGATATTACAGCACTATTTTAATGCATAGTCAACTGAACTGTCAATCATGTACATGGATTTGGTGAAATCTGTCAAAGATTAACAGGTTTCTGTCCTTACAATATTTCTATACATAATTTATATTCTTTGTATATTTTTAGAAATCGCGTTAGACCCATGTGAAAAGAACTATCGTATCCCTAGCTGATACAACCATGAAGCCACATTATCTACGTGGAATATTATCTACAGCTATAATTTTTTTCATCCATTCTAAAAGAAATCTGATGGGGACATTCTACATGAGATAAATGTTAATAGTAGAGTAGAGCTACCCGCAATATTCTCCACAAATGAGAAAATCAAACCAATCCATTAATTTCACTCTTATAACTATGTATTTTGTGGTTTACTTATTGACTTGGAACAATCTAAGGCTCCCTCATAACAATATGGGCATAATATTAGTATTGTCAAGGTAACAGGACGATTGTTAATATGAAACGGGAAAAACACCAGCTGGATTAACAAATTCACTGGAATACATCCTGGTATACACTACACATACTCATTCTCCCCATACAAAATAGGCCTTCTTGAATTCAGACAAAATCAATTTGTTGAGCTCCACAAGGGCAAATGCTCAATATTGAAGGTTTTCAGAGATATTGGAATTATTTTTAAGGGGTTAAGTATCTTTGTCTCAGATTCTGACTCAAAATCCTGGATTTAGCTCATGCTGTAATGATAATTATAAACCTTTAGGTCAATCAGGAACCCCATGAGTTTTACAAGCCGATCGCCTGTCTGATTATCAAGATATTTATGATTGGAAATTGAAATTTCAAAATTCTTTTTCCCCAACAGTTTTTATAACACTACATTCTAATGTGGAAAATTAATATGGTAAACCCGGTCACTCAAAGATTTTTACTTTTTTGAGGCACTTCATGATCATTTTGAAGCGCATTTTAGGGCTTCAATATTACACCATATCACAGACACTGATAACACGTAGGGCCATGCATCTCAGATTTGACATTGTTAAACAATGCCTTTAAAGTACCCAAGTTGATTGAAAAATCTTTAATCTCAAGCACCTGAAGTTACTACATGTATTATACTACACTCTGAACTGCCCATACGCTCGGGCACGTCATGTACATTGAAACTAATAAAAGGGGTATTGCGCAATAAAATGCTATGCCCTTTATCTTTGGGGATTCCCAAATGTGATTCAATACTGGAAACTGTATGTTACAGAGGAATTTGTTCTAATCTGTCTGAATTAAACCATGCAAACCTAAATGCAATTGAGTGATTCTTCAAATGGTGGTTCAGTGGTAGAGTACCGGTAATGGTTTCATTGCCAGGAGATCCTGGGTTCAAAACCAAGTCGGTATGCAATTCCTCTTTGGTAAAGCAACAAACCTCCCCCCCAAAAAAACAAAACAAAAAAAAATCAATAAAAAAAAAATCAATAAAAAAAAAAAAAATCAAACAAATCCATTATAGTTTAACCTTTGTGACTATGTTTTTGTGGTTAATTCACTTGGAACACTCCAAGGATACCTCATAACAATGTGGGCATAATATTAGTTGTGTCACAGTAACAGAACAATTGTAAATATAACATGAAAAACACAGACTGGATTGATGAATTCACTGGAATACATATTGGTATACAATAAACATACTCATTCTATAAGCCTCCTGGAATTCAGACAAAATCAATTTGCTGAGCACCACAAGGAAAAACCTCAGTATTGAAGGTTTTTGGAGATATAATTTATGAGTGGAAACCCCATTTTGTTTGTCTTTCAACACATACATCTACAAATATATCTATTCAACTAAAGAAAAGGATACAAAAATTGTCGGAACACTAATAGAAAGGAAAGGCTTCAAGTTCAAGTCTAAAGCACCTGAAGTTGTTATTATACTATATCCTGAACTGCCAATACACTTGGGCATGTCATTAACATAAGCACTTCTTGAAGGGGTATTGCGCAATGAAATGCTATGCACTTTATCTTTGGGCCGGGGATTCCCAAATGTGATTCAATGTTGAAAAATGTGTGTTACAGAGGAATGTATTCTAGGCTGTCTGAAACCTTGCAAAACTAAATTCAATTGAGTAAACAAATACTATGCCATGATGGTTCAGTGGAAGAGTTTCACTACAGAAGGTTCTGGGTTCAAAACCAAGTTCATGTCACCTTGGGTTAGGCAACAATCCTCCCCCCTCAAAAAAAAAAGGGAAGCAAAGAAAAATTGATGCCACATCTTAAGCCAAAACACACAGTTCATGTTTCTCATTGAAGCAACATAGTACGCATTTTAAAGAGTACCAGTCACTAAAACATGCTTTGCTCTTGATGTAAGGGATTCCATTATGATATACTGTATTCAAAATACGAGTTTAAAATATCCCTTCAGCACAGAGACATTATTGGTTCAATTACTGGTTCAAGTAAACATAAAAAACAACTTGTTAAGTAGACTTGTCTTAGTGTTATATCTAGTTTTGAGATATTTTTATTTCGCCGCTAGCAGGAGCTCACTCTGCTGCAGTAACACCGCTTCTTTTGTTGTTCTTCGATAAACCCAATGTTGTAAGAGCTCATTCCTGAAAAGCAAGTAAAGCTAGCATAGAAGGAGAGGCTGTGTTTTAATTGCCAGACGATAGGACATATGACGAGAGCATGTAAGGTCATCCGTACATGTACGGTCAGAGGATGCAACAGGAAACATACCAAATTCCTCCACCTCCCAAGTAAGCCCAGCAGTGGTGAATCTATGTCAGATGTCCAGGAGCCACAGATCAACGAACCTTCAACGTCTGAACTAGGTGCAGCCAGCCATCAC